TATATATATATATATATATACATTATACTACAAAAGAATAAATAAAAGTACAAATAACGTTGTCACAATATACTAGTATTTTGTAGTGGAGCCTTCGTCTTATATATATATATATATATATATATAATAATAATAAAAGGCCGTGTCTGTGTGTGGGTGGGTGTGTGTGTGTGATCGCCATAGCTTCAAGAGGAAAGAACCTAGAAACCTGAAATTTTGCACCCATACTAAATGGAACCTGACGATGTGCATCTGGGTATTATTACTTATCTTATCGGCGTGCGTGCGCTTCGCATCTTTTTAATGAGGGAAGCTAGCGAAAAACCACATAGAAAAGAACTGGTTCCTTATATAACAAAGATAAATCACAGACAGACAGACACGCACGTGTTTGTGTGCGCGCATGCGCGTGTCTGTGTGTGAAGGCCATAGCTCCAAGAGGAAAGAACCTAGAAACCTGAAACTTGGCACTCATACTAAGTAGACTTCGAGGGTGTGCACCTGGGTATTACTTTTCTTATCCACATAGAAAATAAGTGGTTCCTTATATAACAACTTCTAATATATAGAAAAACCAGTGTGTTTTGGTAACAATGCGTTCCAACTATGGATTTTATGTCATGTTTATTAGCAACAAAAGTATATAGGTTATACTTTTATGCTAAAATGGGTTCAGAATACACGCACTATCAACCTAAAAACCGCTACTTTGTATATATATATGTGTGTGTGTGTGTTTCAAGATATTATTTCCCCCTATTAGCTGCATGACTTCCAGGCTGCAATCGTTGTCTTGGTGGAAGCCATGCTCGTTGAGTAGCGTTCCTGAGGAACGACATGGTACGTCAAAATGTGCCTGCACTCGTCATCAGTGAGGATACCATCAGGTTTTTTAAAATTACCGACACCGACAGGTAAGATGCAGTCCCAAACTTGTACTGATCATCCATCATGCTTCACTGTAGATGTTTTACATGACATTTACCTCCTCTTCGCCATCGAATCAGCTCTGTTCGTCAATTGCTACAGAATAGTTCAAACTTAGATTCTTCTATAAAGGGCGCAATTTTTCAGATTTGTTGATTCAACTTATGTAGCTCGATGCCCCTTTCGACCTTTTAGGTTGGTGACCTCTTTTCAGCAGCGGTTTTCGAGTAGCTACAAGTCCACTGAGACCATCTCGTGCTAATGTGTACTTACACCAAGACCGTTGGATCTGTACTCGATTGTCGACCACCTCGTGAAGAACATACTAAAAAAATACCTAACAAAACTATACAAAAGTAATGTTGTTGTTGTTTTATTTTATTTCGACCACTTTTATTATTAACATTATCAGTTTCACGTACCTTTTCAGAACCTTACATACAGTTCCTAATAAAACATTGAGTCTTAATACAATTTTTCATATGGAGTATCCATAACTAACCAAAACTTCGATTTTTTTTTACACGCTTTTCATGCAGTTTTTCCGTCCTGTAAGTTAATACTGGAATTACACTATTACTTCTACTGGTTACTGTTTGTACTTCTGTAGGCTTTATACTAGTTTGTTACTATCGGATTAGTTGTCATCCAACAAATCAGAGTGTAAACTACAAACATGTGACTGTACTCAGGTGCAATTAGTTTTCACAAAATAAAGGGCTGACATTTCCGTAGTGCATACCCTTTAAACAACCCCCCCCCCCAACGTTTCTTAATTATTTCCTATACTGTATATATATTTAGAAATTCAAGTCATCTATATCTCTGTGTCGCGTTCAATAGTGTATATCATTTGAAAACAATATTGTTTTTTACATAAAACACAGTTTTAATATTTTTCTGAGCCTATTTTAAACATTTCAAAGTTATTACAATACAGATTAATATTTACAAACTCCTTCGCAGTACGTTTAAAATAAGTTAATGTTATTATTACCAAATTTGATGATGAATGTTATCATTATCAAGCTTTCTTGTCACATCCAATAGGGCCCGGCATGGCCAGGTGGATAAGGCGCTCGACTCGCAGTCTGAGGGTTGCGGGTTCGAATCCCCATCCCACCAAATATGCTCGTCTTTTCAGCCGTGGGGACGTTATAACGTGACGGTCAATCCCACTATTCGTTGGTAAAAGAGTAGCCCAAGAGTTGGCGGTGGGTGGTGGTGACTAGCTGCCTTCCCTCTAGTCTTACACTGCTAAATTAGGGACGGCTAGCGCAGATAGCCCTCGTGTAGCTTTGCGAGAAATTCAAAAACAAACAAACACATCCAATATTTTTGAGCGAAATAACGCAAATTAAAACACTAATGCTTCACTTTTGACCATTTACATCAACATTTTTTTCATTGAACATCTTATACAAAGTAATATTTCATTGTTTTATATGTTTATCAAGTTACGTAAGTTTCTAGATACCTCAACCCGTCTGTCGTGTTCGGCTCAGACGTTTGTTTGTAGTTAAGCACAAAGTGCTATCTGTACTGTGCCCACCACGAGTATCGAAACCAGGTATCTAGCGTTGTAACTCCACAGACATACTGCTATGCCATTGGGGGGGGGGGAGGCTTTCGCTGTTAAGCTGCAAAGTAATATGACGGTTTGTGAAATTAATGTTTATTTGTGAGCCAAACGAGGATTCTTTCATACCCCGGATCCCTCCCAGCCCCTGGCGACGCTCCTTAGCCCTTCATGATGAAGTTTCAAAAGCGAAAGTAATATCTTCAACATAATCGTAAGGTTTGGTTTTTTCAAATTTCGCGCAGAACTATACGCTAGTCACCCCTAAATTAGCAATGATATAGTAAAGGAAAGGCAGCTAGTTAACACCAACCACCGCCAACTCTTGGGCTACTATTTTATCAACGAATATTGGGATTGACTGTCACATTATAACACCCACGGCTGAAAGGTCGAATATGTTCGTTGACGGGGATTCGAATATGCGATCCTCAGACTGCGAGTCGAGCGCTCTAACCACCAGGCCAAGCTAGCCCAACCGTAAGGTATTCACACGTAATGGATGGTCAGCGGTCACGTTTTTCAGCACGATATGAATCGTGCTGATCAAACAAGTGCGATATTATAAAATGTGTTCTTATTTTTATTCACGCTGTGACTCCTAATTGCCCTTCAGAAGTTGAGCCTGTTCGTTCACACCTACTTACACCCAGCCAGTTCAATACGATGCTTAAACTGAAGGATTCAGATGATATAATGCCTACCTTTTATTATAGCTTCAATTAAGTAATGGGTAGATAATATCCTGAATCTACTGGCACAGCAATAAGTCTAGGGTTTAAAAGGTAGTTTTTGCCTTTAGCTACAAGCACAAAACAACAACAACAAAAAACAAAGATAGTATGCAATTTATTTCTAAACTCGCATGAATTATTATACAATATAACACGAACAGTTTTACACGTACACATATCTAAGAAAGTTTGTTTGTTTTGTTTGTTTTTAATTATGCACAAAGCTACACAAGGGCTATCTGTGCTCTGCCCACCACGGGTATCGAAACCTGGTTTCTAGCGTTGTAAGTCCGCAGACATACCGCTGTGCCACTGGGGGGCATCTAAGAAAGATGAGCAAACACAAACCCCTCCCAAAAACTACGATGAAGAATGCATGTGCTATATTTGTGAATGGCACAGTGAAGTCATCAATATAATAATATTTTTTCCACACTCAAGAAATGTGACGAGCCGTTTCTGGAGTTAATAAGAAAAGCGGCTAGTAATGATTAGGAGATTACATGGATCGCAGAGATCTGAGCAGTCAAGTAGTCAGTCTTCATAATTACTAAATAATAGCACATTGTAAATATAGC